CATGAAGGGTGATCAAACATACAAAAATTAATTAAATAATTAAACAATAAAAATTGAGAGACATGGAATAAGAAGAAGCAATTCTAATATCATCATTATTAGCATCATTTTGGAGAACTTACACCGCAAATACTTAAGTGTGCCTTGGCACACCTAGCAAAGTGTGCCAAAATTTTTTTAAAATGAACATGTTACTTTATAAAATGAACATGTATAAACATGTTTACACATGTTCATTTTATAAAGTAACATATTTATTTTAAACTGTCTTGAAGGCACACCGTAGTAGCACTGAACTTACACAATATGTTTGGCTCAATCACTTGAAAGAACTGTACAAAATAGCTTTCTTGCTTCTCTTCTACTTCTCCACCTTCAATGGTGATAAAAGAACACAACTTTCTCTCTTTCTCTCTCTCTCTCCTCTTCTCTGCGGGACAGGTGGGCCCCAGAAACAATTAGCTTTCTCTCTCCTACTCAGGTCTTTGTCTCATAAATTCCTCAACTCTCCACTTTCATTCGGAGCAGTTTACTTAGCTGCAAGACTGAAAAAAAAAATAAAAACAAAGCTATCTTCTGTTTTTTGGGACTTCAGAGAGAGCTTCACATTTTTTTACACAAATTTTGTTACACAAATTTACAATGCTTGATTTTGTTTTCCATTTTTTTAATTCTTGAAAAACAGCCCTCCATTGGTTAACTTTAGTCGACGACCAACTGTTTTTGTTTTCCATTTTTTTAATTCTTGAAAAACAGCCCTCCATTGGTTAACTTTAGTCGACGACCAACTGTTTGTTTATTTGTCTGTAAAAAGAAAATGCTTTTCCAAGAGGTATTCGCAATTCATTTGTTGATTTTTTTCTGCCTACACGTAATAAAAATCGCGTCTTTAAACCCCGACGGCCTCGCCCTGCTCTCCCTGAAGTCCGCCATGACCGCCGCCGCCGCCTTCCCCAACTGGAACGAAAACGACGCGTCCCCCTGCGGCTGGGCCGGGATTTCGTGTGCAAACATCTCCGGCTCGAGCGGCGCACGTGTCGTCGGGATATCCATCGGCGGGAGGAACCTCCGTGGGTACATCCCGTCGGAGCTCGGCAGCATATCTTATCTCCGGCAGCTGAATTTACACGGGAACAACTTACACGGCTTGATTCCCCATCAGCTGTTCAACGCTTCTTCACTGCACAGCATTTTCCTCTACGGTAACAATCTCTCCGGTTCTTTACCTCTCTCCCTCTGCACCTTACCCCACCTACAGAACATCGACTTTTCCAAAAATTCCCTCTCCGGCCAACTCCCCAAGTGCTTCACTAGCTGCAGTCAGCTACAGCGGCTGAATCTTGCCGGAAACAAGTTTTCTGGCCAGGTTCCAGCCGGCATTTTCCGGGAGCTTACGAGTTTACAGCACCTTGATTTATCCTCCAACGATTTCAACGGCTCGATCCCCGACGACATGGGCGAGTTGAAATCGTTGACAGGCACTCTGAATTTGTCCTACAATCACTTCGCCGGAAAAATACCGAAAATGCTCGGGGAGTTGCCAGTCACCGTCAGCTTCGACCTCCGGCACAACAATTTGAGCGGTCAGATTCCCCAGACGGGCTGTTTCTCCAATCAGGGCCCGACTGCATTCTTGGAAAACAATGATTTGTGCGGTTTTCCATTACAAAAGTCTTGCAAGAGTTCCGACCCGTCAGGGTCTCGGTTTTACAATCAACAAAAGGGGCTCAGACCGAGCCTGATTATACTGATATCCATGGCTAATGCATTAGGGATAGCGTTTATAGGACTCATAATCATTTACATTTACTGTAAACAGAAGGACTCAAACGGGTGCACCTGTACAAAGAAAGTAAAGCTTGGAGGGAGTGAAAAAACGAACCTTTTCGCATTTCCTTGCGTGAATGGACTTCCGAGCAACGACTCCGAAATCGAGTCTGAAATAGATGGCGGTGGGGAAGGTGAGTTGGTGGCTATCGATAAAGGCTTTCATTGCGAGATAGACGAGCTTTTGAGAGCCTCTGCCTACGTGCTCGGAAAAAGTCGTTTGGGCATAGTTTATAAAGTCGTGCTCGGAAATGGAATTCCTGTAGCGGTTAGGAGGTTAGGGGAAGGTGGGGAACAAAGGTATAAGGAGTTTGTAGCTGAGGTTCGGGAGATTGGGAAAATAAAGCACCCGAATGTTGTGAAGCTGAGGGCGTACTATTGGGCCCCAAACGAGAAGCTTCTCATAAGTGATTTTATTTCTGACGGCAGCTTGGCTTCTGCATTTCGCGGTGAGTTTCAGTTTCACATTCTTTTGTTATTATTAGTTTGTTTTCTCGCGGTTTCAAGATTAGTTGTTACTGTTGAACAATGGATTCTTGATTTGTTTTGTGCCTGAAGTTGTTCATTTTTGGTGGTAAGGGCTAAAAAATGAACTTTTGTTGAAGCCTACTCTATAATTGATGAGCAGTGTGAACTGGTGCTGATAGAGGGAATTTTTTAGAGTATTTCAACTTTTCGTGTGAGTGATTATATACTTACCGGAGGCTAAATAAAGTGGTAGTATTTGCGGATAGATGCAGGAGTTAAAATGGTAAAAGAGAGTTTTTTTCTTTATGAATGAATTATGGAAGTTCTTATTAGTAAAACTCAGACTTGATTGGCTAGGAATCGGTTGTGCAGAGTTCAGATTCATGTGTAAATCAAATTTTCTTTCCCTTTTCTTTTTAGTTTTTCATTTGAATGGGTAGAAAAATATCTGATAGGATTTCTGAGGTGAAGGAAAAGCAAGATGAGAAGCTAAGGCTCATTGTTTTAGCTAATGATTCTGTTGTGAAGGAAAAGCAAGATGAGAAGCTAAGGATCATTAAAATTGTTCTTACCTACATTTGAGAGTTAAGACAGTACTACTAACATAATAAAACTAACTTACCTCACTATTTTTGGTGCGTTATTAGTCACACGATCACTGGTGAATCTAGTCGACCATGCCTTTTTACATTATAGTTTTACCGAACTAGAAATAGCGACCAGCAGATTTCGTTTTTCAAACGGCCTGTAAAGTGCATGCGAGTTTGTTTCTGTTCCAAATGAGACCGGCAGCGAACATATTTTACTTTGGCAACAAATTTTCCCTAAGTTTTCTGCAAGAAAATGCTTGCAAACAGATGAAAAATGATAGCTAAGTTTATAGACTTTCCGGTCGGTTCAAAAGTCATCTTCTGTTCAGTTCCTTGTTAATACTTACCCGTGGGCTTCATTCTCCAGCTCCC